CGGGACAAGGAAGGAAGGGCGAGGGGGGCATTGCGAAGCCGCCTTCAAGAAGGGGAACGACGTCGGAGCGCCGCCAGCATCGTGGCCGCAGCGAACAGCCAAGGGGTTTCCCCCGATCCATCCCCCGAGAGGAAGCACCATCGCCAGATCTGCTCCAAGGGCAAACGGGGAAGCCCCAGGAGCCAGCCACGCTCGCCGCCGATCCGCCGCCCACTTGGCCAGGAGCGGCGCTCCCCGCATCTGTATCAGCCACCCGCCGAAGGGGGGCCCACGCCGCTCCACCAGTGGCCGCCGCCACCACGCCAGGCGCAACTGCGCGGAACAGAGCACACCGAGCCCAACCCGCCGCCGCCAGGCACCGGCCCTGCCACCGTCGCCCGCCGCCGCGCCGTTACGCCCTCGGCCAGCGCCACGCCGCCGCCCGCTGACCCCGACCGCGTCGGCCTTAGCGAGCAGGGGAAGGAAGGCCCCGCCGCCGCCCGCTGACCCCGACCGCGTCGGCCTTAGCGAGCAGGGGAAGGAAGGCCCCGCCGCCGCCGAGGCTGACCGGGCTTCGCCCGTCAGCGCGAGCCGGCGGCGGTGAGGGAGGAGTCGAGGAGGAGGGGGGCCTGCGACTGGCGGCTAGGGTTTCCCCTCCGCGTCGCTCGCGGGAGCGACCCATGAATATGAGTTTCAGAGTATATATGCAACTATGTAATATGAGTTTCAGAGTATATATGCAACTACGTATTCAATGTTTGTAATTCAGCCAAAAGTTGATTATCTGTATCATGCAATCTGGGATCTCAATTAAAGCCGCATTGTCAGTTAATTAATCTAGCAAATTTGTAACACCATCATGCTGTTTGTTAACTATCAACAGAAAAAGTACAAGATGATCATAAGTTGTTAAGTTTGATATGAGTGTGGCAATTACTGAGATGGTTAAAATGTTAAGTTTGATTTGGTTGAGGTGCGGCTGGCCTAGGCTGTAGTGCTACGCCCCAGACGACATTTACTATATTGTGATCACATGGCCCACATATCAGATATTAAACACTTGATTCTTAGCCAAAAGGCCGAGATAGATATGCTTTGAAACGTTACCCTCTCCCTTCTTACTCTCGGCTAACAAAGTGGAAGCATTGTCCTCGGTTTGGACATGGAAGCCCAACGATCTGTACCAGGACAGCTTTTTGTAGAGCCCAACAACGTGGTTCACATCGGTTCCGCGAAAAAACAGGCTCATATCGCTTGCTAAAGAAAATCTCATTGGATGCATGTAGTGTTGAAAACTTTTTAGAGGATTAGGATTAGCAATGTGTCCGTCATCCGAGTGACTTCAATAATAAATCAATTTCTTCTGGATGTAAGGCGATGTCTATTGAAGCAACGCATAATCTGGCAGGCAGCAACCTGAAACACACAGTGAAGGCTCTCTGCAGCACAAGGTTCATGTCACTTGAGCGTGCCAGATGCACAAGGTTGCATAGCGCCAGCCACTCGTTGTTTCCTCTCAATCGGAACGCCGAACGCAGCGGGTAGTGTACTGTCAAAAACGCTCTTATATTATGGGACGGAGGAAGTACTTACTAGATGTTCTCCTCTCCCTTCGAACTGAACCACGGGACACTGATCATCAACACATGGGAAGAAATCACATGCTGACTCCTACAGTCCTAGTACACTACTGAAGAGCGTCACAATCAGTTATCCTGGTGCTGCGGACAAGTCCTCCCGCCCGGAATGGGAACAACCACACATGTATGGCCGTATAAACCAGGCAATCAAAGCCCCCATGGAAACAGACAGCAAAAGGGCACGCACATTCCTCGATCACCCATTCGCAAAATCCATTAATCTGGAGGTGCACAAACTGGTCCGTCAAGCCCCACCAACGACCTGTTCGTCGCCCGTGCTTGAGGGGCTCGAGCATGAGCTGGGTATGCCCATGCCACGCACCTTCCTGGGTCACCTCTTGGCACAGCTCACAACCCGTGTCGCCATGGATCCAGCAGAGAGTAGTGACTCCACGTACGTCCCTGACTCGAGCTGGGGCAAATTGTGCTCAGATTATCTGTAGCGAAGTAAAAAATATCGGTTAAACGTAGTTTTATACGAAACTAATGATGACATGCTTCAGCTTTCTCAACAAACGGTGGATTTTCCTGGCTCAAAACGGAGCATCAAGAAGATAACAAAGACAATGAGCACACACCCAAAGTGCAAACTCAAAATGCTTCAGCTTAAATGCAAACACATCTAGATTGATCAATGCCAAATTATTCATGCAGAGACACCACAAAGGAGTTGACGTGCAGCTAAACATACACTTCATCGGAACTGGACACCAAACTATTTAACTAAACCTTCAATCCTGGATTCTGTTCAGCAAACCATGTCCACTGTCCACATAAGCATCACACAGGTACCAATCAGCCTGCCACTACTATTCCTCAGTCCTCACGCACCATGAGTCCCCCCAGACAAGATCCATGGTAACCACAAATCCCAGTCCAAGGTCCATGAAAATAACAGCCACGTAATCCTTGACCCAATTTTCTTCGTAACGACTACGACTATAAGGGGCAAAAACATATAATGGGAGCAAGAGCCGCTTCTTTGTTCGTCTCGTGCTATTTCTCCATAAGACCATTGATGCCTTACCTAGCCAGTGCATAAATTGAGGATCTGGCTTCCATGCTAGTTTCATCAGAAACCACGCAGCCCCTTCAATTTTCAAACAAGACACACAACAAAAAATTGTACATACCTTCCCTTGGCCTTGCTCTTGTGCTGCTGATCTCCTTGGCCTCTCCCGCAAGTTCCTGCACGGAGCAGGAGAAGACCTCCCTTCTCCAGTTCCTCATCGAGCTCTCATGGGACGGTGGCCTTGCCGCCTCATGGCGGAACGACACGGATTGCTGCAAGTGGGAAGGGATCACTTGCAGGAAAGATAGGACGGTCGCCAATGTCGTGTTGGTTTCAAAGGGCCTTGCAGGGTATATCTCAGAGTCCCTTGGGAACCTGACCAGGCTGCAACACCTTAACCTCTCTCACAATTCACTGTCCGGTCCTCTGCCTCCGGCATTGGTGTTCTCCAACAGCATCAACATCCTTGATGTCAGCTTTAACCGGCTTAATGGAATACTCGACAAGCTGCCATCTTCAACCTCTGCCCGGTCTCTGCAGGTACTGAACATCTCAAGCAACTTATTTGCAGGACACTTACCATCCACCACATGGAAAGCAATGGAGAAACTGGTCACACTCAATGCCAGCAATAACAGCTTTACAGGGAAGATGCCAACACATTTCTGTAGCAGCTCACCATCCTTTGCCGTGGTTGAACTCTGTTACAACAGATTCACTGGCAGCATTCCCCCTGAATTTGGTAGTTGTTCGAAGCTCAGAATACTCAGTGCTGGCCACAACCACCTCAGTGGGACATTCCCAGATGAACTCTTCAATGCTACTTCGTTAGAATATCTGTCTTTTCCTCACAATATCTTACATGGAGTACTTGATGGTTCACGCATAATTAAGCTCAGAAACCTCATAACCCTTGATTTGGGAGGGAACAGTTTCAGTGGCACAATTCCTGATTCTATTGGTCAGCTCAAGAGACTGGAGAAGCTCCAGTTGAACAACAACATAATGTCTGGGGAGCTGCCATCAGGTCTGGGCAGCTGCACAAAACTCATAACGCTTGATTTCGGAGGGAACAGTTTCAGTGGCACAATTCCTGATTCTATTGGTCAGCTCAAGAGACTGGAGCAACTCCATTTGAACAACAACATAATGTCTGGGGAGCTGCCATCAGGTCTGGGCAGCTGCACAAAACTCATAACAATTGACCTCAAGAGCAACTACTTCAACGGAGAACTTATGAAGGTCAACTTCTCCACCCTGTCAAATCTAAGAATTTTAGATCTTCACATCAACAACTTCACTGGCACAATTCCAGAGAGCATCTATTCATGCAGCAATTTGATCGCGCTGCAGCTATCAGTCAACCATTTCCGTGGAGAGCTCTCGTCAAGAATAGGAAATTTGAAGTATCTCTCCTTTTTCTCGATTGCCGACAACAATATTACAAACATCACAAACACACTTCACATTCTTAAGCAGTGCAGGAACCTTAACACCCTGCTAATTGGGCACAACTTCAGGGGTGAGCTCATGCCAGAGGATGACAAAATTGATGGTTTTCAGAATCTTCAGGTTTTGGGCATCGGAGGTTGCCAGTTGTTTGGAGAAATACCTCTTTGGTTATCGAAGCTAGAAAATTTAGTGATGTTAATCTTATCTGACAATAACCTCAGTGGATCAATACCAGCCTGGATCAAAGCCCTTAGCAATCTCTTCTATCTAGACATATCTTCCAACAGTATCACAGGAGAAATTCCAACATCACTAATGGACATGCCAATGATGAAGTCAGAGAAGACTAAAGCCCATCTGGACATGAAGGTCTCTGAACTACCAGCTGATGCAACTCTATCACTTCAATACCGCATACCAATTGATTTATATAAAGCTCTGGATCTAAGCAATAATATGTTAACTGGTAAGATCCCCATGGAGATTGGTCAGTTGAAAGCCGTCCTTTCACTCAATCTGAGCTTCAACGATCTAACATGGCAGATCCCAGAATCAATATGTGATCTAACAGACCTCGAGGTGCTAGACTTGTCAAGCAACCATCTCACAGGTGCAATCCCAGCTGCATTGAACGGACTGCACTCCCTTTCAGCTTTCAACGTCTCTAACAATGATCTGGAAGGTCCTATTCCATCTGGAGGCCAGTTCGACACATTTCAAAATTCTATCTTCGATGGGAACACAAAGCTCTGTGGTACTATCCTCCATCGCAACTGTAGTTCAGCAAAAGTACCTCAAGCTACCATTCTTACAAAAGAAGAAGTTTTTGCGATTGCCTTCAGTGCATTCTTTGGTGTAGGTGTGTTGTATGATCAGATATTTTTATCAAGGTTTTTTCTTAGAACTAGGCGATAGCCCAGTAGTGGAAGCGCAGTGGCTAAACCAGTGTATCTCTTTTTAATAATGTGTCTGGGGTGCTAGTACTTTGGTCTCACTATTGTATGTTATCAAGGTTTGTAGGCTAGCCCTACTCGTCATTACCAATTTATTATGACAATTTTGTTAAGATTTGAATTTAATTCAGGTTTAACGACATGTCAAGTAAACAGGATTCGTCAAGGTGGTGGTGTATTCCGTGCAGAGAGACTACAAAAGAGTAGAAGTGTACTACACATACAGTAAAGATCGTCGAACAAAACTATTCAACTAAACCTTCAATCCACGAATCACAACCGGATTCTGTTCGACAGACCATGTCCACTGTCCACATAAGCATCACACAGATCACCAATCAACCTGCCACTACTATTCCTCAGTCCTCAGCGATACCGAGTCCCACCCAGATCGGTTCCATGGCAACCACAAATCCCAGTCCAAGGTCAGTAGTCAGTAATAATGCACCAGTGGAGACGCCAAGACAGTATAATTGAAAACAACAGCAACGGAATCCTTGACCCAAACTACTTCGTAACTACTACGGCTGCAAGGGGCAAAACCATATACTGGGAGCAAGAGCCTCTTCTTTGCTCATCTCGTGCTATTTCTCCGTAAGGCCATTGATGATCTTATGCTACTGATCTGGATTCCATGCTAGTTTCATGATAAACCATGCAGTCACTCCATTTTTCATTCAAGACACACAACACCAAATTGCGCATACGTTCCCTTGGCCTTGCTCTTGTGCTACTGATCTCCTTGGCCTCTCCCACAAGTTCCTGCACGGAACAGGAGAAAACCTCGCTTCTCCGGTTCCTCGGGACTCTACCGAAAAAGGGTTTCCCCCCGCTTTGTATTCCAAAGCAAACCACCATTGTACACATCGCAATGCTGGGGCGAGCAGCACAACAAGCCCAAAGAAAAAGAAGAAGAAAAAATGCCAACAGCGGCAGCTCGACAAATCGCGGAAGACCCGCGACCGCTGCACCCTCCGGAAACAAACCACCATAGCCCGAGGCTCCGATCTACCGCGAACTAAGGAGCACCTCCAAGAAGGGATGCGACGCCGACGACGCTGCTGCCCGGACAAGTCCTAGGGTTTCCGCCAGTACGCGGAGGGAGGTGGGGGATAGCTACTCCCGACACCCTCCAAGAAGGGATAGTGGCACCCGCCGGTGTCACCGCATCGGAGGCGGACGAACCGGCAAGGATTTCTCCCGCACGCCAAACCCCACCAGCCAATCGGAGCCGACCAGCCAAACCACCGCCCAACTATGCGCCATCACGGTTGCGCCGCCACCAACACCGTCTCGCTACGAACACCACCACGAGGCCAAGAAGACCAGAGAGAAGATCCGAGCGACGGGAGCAGCAGCATCAAGGCCGAGCGGGAGGGAACCACCTCCACCGCCGTCGTGCGGGAGGCCCGCGCCTCCGGCACCGTCGCGGTAGCCGTCCGGACACGGCAGCGGGGCATACCAGGCCACCCCTGGCCCAGACAGGCCCGAACCAGGCCCGCTAAGCCCCACTGGCCACGCTGCAGCAAGCTGGCCTCGACGCCGCCAGCACCCCGCTGATCATCGCCGCTCGCCACCGCCTCCTGAAGGCCATGCCGACGCCACGCCTGTCGCCGGCCCGTCCCAACCCAGATGGAGCCCGAAGGGCCCAGATCTGGGTCGGGCGGGCGCCGCCGCGCTGCCCCGCCGCCAACGGCGCCGCCGCCGCCCAGAGCTCACCCCCGCCTGCGACAGGACACCCCGCTGCCGCGCAGGACCGCCGCCGCCTGAAGACACCGCCCGGAGCCGCTCCGTCCCGCGCCGGAGAAACCCTAGACGGGGAAGGGCCGGGGGCCGCCGCCACCAACGTCGCCCGGGCCAGGCCCGAGGCAGGCGCCAGCGACGGCGGCAGGGAGGAGGAGGAGAGAGGGGGACGCGCGCGGGGAAGGAGGGGAGGCGCGGCCGGCCGCCCGTGGGGGCGGCACGGTCGCGGACGAGAGAGAGGAGGGGTCCCGTTCTGAAGTCCTCGTTGGACTCTCACGGGACGGTGGCCTTGCCGCCTCATGGCGGAACAACACGGATTGCTGCAAGTGGGAAGGGATCACCTGCAGGCAAGATAGCATGGTCACCAAAGTCATGCTGGCTTCAAGAGGTCTAGAGGGGCGCATCTCGGAGTCCCTTGGAAACCTCACTGGGCTGCAGTACCTTAACCTCTCTCACAACTCGCTGTCTGGTGGTCTGCCACTGGAATTGGTGTCGTCCAACAGCATCACCGTTCTTGATGTCAGCTTTAACCAGCTCAACGGAACACTCCACGAGCTGCCATCTTCAACCCCTGCATGGCCTCTGCAGGTACTGAACATCTCAAGCAACCTATTTGCAGGACAGTTTCCATCCGCCACATGGAAAGCAACGGAGAATCTGATGGCACTCAACGCAAGTAATAACAGCTTTACAGGGCAGATACCAACTCATTTCTGTAGCAGCTCACCATTCCTAGCCGTGCTAGATCTGTGCTTAAACAAATTCAGTGGCAACTCCCCCAAACGACTTGGTGATTGCTCCAAACTGAGAGAGCTCAGGGCCGGGCACAACTACCTCAGTGGAACACTTCCAGATGAACTATTCAGTGCTACTGCACTGGAATACCTCTCTTTTCCTAACAAGGATTTACATGGAGTTATTGATGGTGCACACATAACCAACCTCAGAAATCTGTCTGCTTTTGATCTTGGAGAGAATAGTTTCAGTGGCAAGATTCCAGATTCCATAGGCCAGCTCAAGAAATTGGAGGAGTTCCATTTGGACAACAACAAATTGTCAGGGGAGCTGCCATCAGCTCTAAGCAACTGCACGAATCTCGTAGTAATTGACCTCAAGAATAACTATTCCAGTGGACAGCTCGCCAAGGTCAATTTCTCCAACCTGCCAAATCTGAAGACATTAGATTTTACTTCAACAACTTCACCGGCACAGTTCCAGAAAGCATATACTCTTGCAGCAATCTCACTGCACTGCGGGTGTCTGGAAACCATTTAGAAGGACAGCTTTCACCACAAATTGGCGATCTGAAGTACCTCAACTTCCTATCGCTTGCTGACAATACTTTCAGAAACATCACAAATGCACTGTGGATCCTTAAGAGCTGCAGGAACCTTACCACGCTGCTACTCGGGCAAAATTTCAGTGGAGAGCTCATGCCAGAGGATGACACACTTGATGGTTTTGAGAAACTTCAGCTTCTTTCCATAGGTGGTTGCTCATTGTTGGGAAAAATTCCTCGTTGGTTATCAAAGATAGCAAACTTGGAAATATTATTTTTAGATGTAATCAACTTACTGGACCAATACCTAACTGGATCAGCAGCCTAAACTTCCTCTTCTATCTAGACATAAGAAACAACAGTCTCACCGGAGAAATTCCAACAGCACTGATGAATATGCATATGCTGAAGTCAGAAACGGTTGAAGCCCGTTTAGACCCAAGGATCTTCGAACTACCAGTTTATAAGGGTCCATCACTTCAGTATCGCATACCCATTGCTTTCACCAAAGTGATGGATCTAAAAAGGGCAGCCCCAGTGCATGTAGCTCCCGTTTGCGCAGGGTCTGGGGAAGGGTCCGACCACTTTGGGTCTATTGTACGCAGCCTTTCCCTACATTTCTGTAAGAGGCTGTTTCCAGGACTTGAACCCGTGACCTCATGGTCACAAGGCAGCAGCTTTACCACTGCGCTAAGGCTCGATCTAAGCAACAATAAATTAACTGGTGAGATCCCTCTGGGGATTGGCCAGCTGAAATCTCTTCTTTCACTAAATTTGAGCTTCAACGACCTAACAGGACAGATTCCAATGTCAGTATGCAATCTCACAAACCTGCTGGTACTAGATTTCTCCAACAACCACCTTACTGGTACAATCCCAGCTGCATTGAACAGCCTGTTAGATTGATCTCTCCTCCAATGGGCCCAACGGCTCATTGGGCCCTTGACCCACGCCCTGATCGGGGGCGTCCAGCCCAAGCAAGGCTGGTGGGCCCCTGTCGCGCAGTGCTATAAAGAGGAGGTGGGGACCAGGGCACAGAGTACGAGGTTCGTCGCCGCCACTGTTCCCCACTCCTAACCCTAGTCCGATCCAGAGGAGGCACTGAAGCGATGGGAAGCGCCACCAGCCACTTCACCATCGACCTCTACGCCAAGCTCCCATCCGTTCACCACCGGCACTGGGAGCTCCTCGAGACAAGGAGAAGGTAATCTCCTCACGACACCGTCAGTCCTAGTCTACCCGATCCCACAGACTCCTATCAATGGTATCAGACAGGTTGGGTATAGGATTTTTCGGTTGAAATAGAACACAGAGAAATTAAAAAGACCCTCCCCAAAGAACCCTAGCAGGGCAAAGCAAAGAAAATCAAAAAAGTAAACCGGAGAAGAACTTGGGCCGCCGGCAAAGTGCGCCGCCACTCCGGCCGCGCCTGTTCCTCTCGATCCCGTCGCGCATCGGCAAGCCGAGGCGACAGGGACGAAGAACCTACCCCGAAAGGGGCAAAGAGCACCGCGGCCAAACCGCTCGACGGCGGCGCGCTCACCGCAAGGTGGACGCACAGCCGGCGAGGGGGAAGGCCACGGTGCCGCAGCCGTCCGCTCCGCCGCCCTCGGGCGCACAAGGGAGCAGAGGAGGGCTCTGCCCGCGCCTCTCTCTCTGTCGCAGGAAGTGGATGGAGAAAGAAAAACAGGAAAGGGAAAAGGCTCGGGCGGCCGTGGCGTCCGACGTCGTAGTCGGCCCGCCGGCGGTGCAACAAGGCCGCTGGTCTGATCCGCCGCGGTGGAGGCCAGGCAAAGCGGTGCGCGCGGAGGAAACGAAGGGGGAAGGAAGCAGAGGGCGTGCGGTGCGGTGGTTATCCACCCTGCCGCAGGCGGCCAGACGGAGTCTTGCCGGTGGCCTGGAGCGCTGCCGCGGAGATAAGAGGCGAGCAGCGCGCAAGG